TATTTTACATGAAACCCTTAGACATTTTCAAAATTTTCTCAAAAAAAGGCTACAATTTTTTCTTTAAATTTCTTGTAAGAATGGAGGCAAGGTGGCATAAGTCCGATTTTCACGGTTAACTATGAATTTTCGAAAATTTCGAAAGCATGAATTTTTTCGTCTTCCTACAACTACAGAAACAAACTACTGAATTTAGTTTTCGCACAATATTGGGCGCAACAATTTACAAAAGATTTTCTCAAAAATGGCTCCAAGTATTTTCTTTTCTCTTGATGGGGATAGTGCTAAATGTACTCTCCGAGATGACAAATGCCATGTTCTATGTTGTTTTTTTTTAAGATTACAAAATGTAATTTAACTGATCTCTCACATCGTTAAATTTACATTTGTTGTGATTTGTTCACATATTTGAGTGCATTTGCTTTAACTAGTCAAAGTTTCTTCAAAACTCTCAAAATTCCACACTTATATTAACGATCAAAAGTTCTCATAAATGGCTCCAAATTTTTGCAAACTTCTCAAATAGTTATTGTTTATTGCACTGTTTAAGATGACGTAGTTAATTATGCTGTATTCTTTGCTTCTGTAACAAGCTAGTAATTAAAGCCAAAAAGAGGAGCTGGGATATGCATGGACTCCACGGTGCTGATGGAAGGTTGATGCCCATATAGCCTGAAAGTCGTTTCCTAGGAGCTTTACATTTTTCCAAAATGATCTAAAAGATTCAGCTGCCCACTGAGCTGACTTTTTTCCTATTAATTTTCCTGTTATACCTACACAAAAACCATTTTTCTCTGCTTTAAAATCAACAGACCGTGAGTCTTGAAAGAGATTTCCAGATAATCCATTATAGTTTGCACTTCACCATTAAATAAATCAGAAAAAGCTCATTAAAACAAATGTAAATAGAAAATATTAATTTATGATTTGAAATTATTTATAATATAATAAACATTTTTTTACAGAATCAATAGAAATACCAAGATTCTATGCGATGTATCAAAATATTTTGGGGTGTTCATAAACTACCGAAGAACCCCTATTTAAAGTTTTGGAAACCGTTGCCCAATGTCATGCGACACCGTCTGTCATGTACAGCCAAATGTAATGTACAAAACATTAACAGCTGCAATTCCAACTGAATTAAGGTAGTGTTATTCTCATGTTTGCATCCATCAGATTCTGACGGATGGGAGTGCCTCCCAACCATGTAAATTTCACACTCGCAAATAGAACTTCTATGATTACATTGTGATTTAATATGTATGGGACCGTCCATACATTTCAAAACGCAAAAATACAGTATTTGGAATAACACCTCCCCGTAACGCATTTGTTAACACTCGCTTGAATCACTCCAAAATAATTATACAATGCTCGCAACAAACCCTCCCCTCCCCCAATTTACAATCAATAAAAATAAATTACACATTAGAAACAAGTTGTATAAATTTTATTAGAATTCTATATTAAAATTAATGATGAAATCAGAATTTGTGATGGGCACTGCATTTTACAATAAGATTGGGGATAATGTTTGAAGGATACCTAGACGAGAAAATTTCTGAAAACACTGCAAACGTTTCACCGTCTAGGATGATAAATTTTCATAAAAATGAAAAAGTATTTTCTTAAAACAATACGTACATCAACTTTTAGATTATTCAAATTTTTAAAGTTAAATTGGTAATATTTGAAGGTTTTAGTACAAGACTGAATAAAAGGAATTATTTCAGAAAAATTGAAAATTAATCTCAGCATTACATAACACTAAACCATGATGCCCTTCCCCTATGTAACACTATCCCCCCCTCTCCCGTTCTTTAGTGTTATGTAATTTATGGGCCACCCTTATGATAAAAATATAGCATTTTTAAAATAAAGTCTAATTCCTGGTTAATTCTATCTAATTTCTTCAAAGAATACCCCCAAACCCACAATTAATGTAAGAATTTTAGACCCTCCTGAGGTGACGTTAAATAGGGGTTCTACTGTACTTTGATCATGGAATTACGCAACTGATAAAAAACTGCAGTACATGAAACTATTAGATAAGTTGCAATCAATGATTTAGTTATCATCCCGTACACTGCAAGGATATCCGGATTCATCAGTTCTTTGTTCTACTCAGGTGAAGACACCTTCCAATACATATTAGATGCGACCTGTTTCCCTGTGATACCACTGTTCATTTTGCGTCCTTTGTATTACACAAGATTTCGAAGTTTTTTTCCAGTTTTCACAGAATAGCTGAATATTCACAAACTATCTTATCAAAGCACAGAACAAGACATCACTAGTACGAAGACAATTGCTTCAAGGTTATTAAAAACAATAATTGTATATAACTTGTTTTATTAAAATTCTCTGTATACGTCTTGATAAACACAAGAATACTTCATACATGTGATTATGTATATGTAAACTGGATCATAACCCAACATACAAATCTGCAGAAATAAAAACTGCTCACTAGACTTGAAAATTAATGTTGATGATGAAATGTCTCAGAACTCACAAAATAAATTTTTTTTAAATTACACTAACTTCCTGTACCCTTGGGTGGAGGCCTAAAAACTCCCACTACAACAGCATGGTCTCTTTCATAGGGCTCTAATGTGATCTGTTCTTGAGGTTTTAACTTGTCTGCTTGTAATTTCTTGACCTCTGATGCAAACACTGCTTCAGGAGTAGCTGTAGAATCTATACAACTAGCCTGAAACAAAACAAAAATTATTAACAGATGAAGGACTTTTGTCAAAACCTCAAAACTGAATATCTCATGAAACCACTCTTATGCACTATATATTTCACATTACAAAAATATGTTATTGAAAATTCACCTTAATAGAAATAACAAAGTGTCCACCATTCTTCAGAAAATGTTGTGCATTCAGAGAAACAATTCGAGCTTGATCAGGCTGAGCAACATCAGCAAACACTGTGTCAACCATACCAACCAGCATTCGATATTTGTGAGGATGACGAGCATCCTCTATGATCGGAATTACATTCGTACGTTTTTTTGCCATATTGATTAAGTCACGTCCAGATCGTTGAGAAAACTCAACAGCATACACAAGACCTTCCTGTGAAAGAAGGAGCTCAGACTTAAATTCTGGAGGAAATGTGCAATTAAGTAACAGGAGACGAGGGAACTTTTCTATTAAATTTAAATGTACAGTCTGAAATTTAGAAACTTTTGTTGAAATTGCAGCTATAATTGTAAAGTGATAAAACTCACGGGTCCAACAACATCCGAAACATGAGAAACTGTAGTACCAGACGCTGCTCCAAGGTACAATACTTTTGTTCCTGGGGGCATATGAATCTTATCCACTCCACCCAAAATAGCAGCAGCAAGTTTTGATCGGAATGGATTCCATACTCTGTATTCCAATTTAGTCTCTCCTTCCTAAAACAAAAACATTACAGTATAAATATTTGCATTAATCCACTAGCATTAAAACATTCTGGCCTTTTTAAGGGCTGGTTTATCAACCACATTTATTGGGTGGATAAGAATGTATTTTTCCAATTCATTAAAAAAAATATTTATCCTTTAGCACATAAGCCTTGAAAGCAGTGATGGCAGAACACATAATAGGTATTGCTTTTCCATATTGATTGGCAAATTGTGATGAGCATTCGACAAAGTCAAATTGTGTAAATTGGGCACTTTTTATTTATGTGTTAATTTTCCTTTCTGAACAAATGTGTTTCTTTTGTACATAATAAACAATTTACTCTCCTCTGGAACATTTACATGCTTCTGCAATGCAAATATTTGCCTAGAAAGTATTTTTCAAACTAACTTTTGAGTGCTTATTGCAGCTCAGCTATGCAGAATATCCAAGGAGTTCATTAGACAAAATATGGTTAAAATTGTTTTAAGTCCCACCACTCAGAGGGATTTTGTTCTTCAGGATATTTAATTAAAAAAATAGATTAATCTGACCTCAATATGTAAATTGATTCCACAATGTCACTGTTTAATGTTAGGATTAGGCAATAAAACAACACTGGCTCAAATTGAACCAATGAACTCTCACAAATTTCACTTTCTTTAATGATTGTTTTACCCAGACTTTTCACATCCTTAGGCTAACCCGAATTCTCACTCTGCCTTACGACCACTCCACAAGTTTCAATCCAGTTGCCATGAATTATTTCCTGCCCTTTCCTTGGTCGAAAGATACAGTACCACATCATGATTTTATATTATATGTTCACTCCAAAGATTATATATAAACAACTGTGTAGTTCCTAGCAAACAGTATTAAGATCTGAAAGATTGATCATTGTCACAGGCCAATTTCCTTCCTAATCAATAATTTGTATTATACGATACCTGCACTCAAAACTCTCACATAGGAAGCTATGGATTGCATCAACACTTTGCCTTATTGTCTTAATTCCATCTGTATATATCAACAGACGCATTTTAAAACAATGTAATAGTGTTCTTTTAGGGACTACGCTTCAGAAAAAGGTTTCACAATGCTTAATTGTTCGTATGGGCAATTCCTTATCAAAAAAATTTTACGGCAAATAAAGAATTGTACAAAAAATTGCAAAAAAAATGGAAATATTCAGCAATACATACATATATGTACTTGCGAGTAAAATACGTCAATATAGGTACTGCCAGGTAAAGTATGTAAATATATATGCACTAAAATGTAAACATCTTTAGGCACTAATCGCTATGAAATGTGAATATATTGTTGATTTGACTTGGCAGAGTTAACTTTGGAAAACGTAATTATATAATGATCTGTAATAATAATCCAGCTAAATTAAATTAAATTTAAGACTTACTTCAACTTGTATCCTCTTTTCCCCATAAACAGCTTCTCCAGGTACCATGTTCATAGTTACTAATGCATCTTCTTTACCCCGAGCAATAAACACTCCTTCATGCCTATGAGGTTCAATGATAACCTTCTTACCACCTCTCATGCCACCTAAAAACATTCACAACATTTTCCAAATAACTTATTTTGCAAAAATCATTACATAACGAATTATCATCACTGACAATTGTTAGGCAACAAATTCTAACTGCATTTTTCTCCATTTTTTAATGACTCGTGATATTAAAAAAAAGGCTCTTCTCTGTGACCAGTATGTATGACAGTTTTTTACTAATTAAAAACGAAGAAAGGCACAATTGGGCATCAATTATTTGTTTAGAAGTAGTTTCCTTCATTTACAAAATTATTACATTCACTTACCACCTCCACGGCCTCTGCCTCCTCCCCTGCCACCACCACCTCTCCCACCAAATCCTCGTCCACCTCCACCTCTTCCTCCTGGACTTCTTCCAAAGCCGCCGCCGCCTCTACCTCCCGGACTTCTTCCAAAACCACCTCTACTTCCTCCGAAGCCACCTCTACCACCTCCACGGCCACCACGACCACCTGGTGAAAATCCTGCAAGGAAGACAAAAGGTTATCTTACTTCAAATCCATATCTATATATAAAGAGGGCATGTGCAAAGGTGTGTCTCACATGGTCGCAAAAACTACTCGCCCCATTTTGCTGAAATTTCGACTTTGTTTTTATTAGTAATGGGCATTTTTAAAGAGCGATTTAAGCGTTTTTTTTATATATTATTATTATTATTATTATTATTATTATTATTTGTTGCATCAGGATTCACGCAACGCATCTCCAAGCCCCTTGGGGGTGTCGAGCGCTTGCAGTAATCCTCCATTTATTTTGAGCACATATGAGTAATCCTTGGTTAACATTATATATCAGGACAGCGACTTTGCTGTGAGCCTCCAGCCAGCAAAAATGATTTCATTACGAGTCAAGTGACCCTGAACCCTACTTAAACCACTACACAGTCGAGGATTCTGCTCCTGTGATTGTGAAATATCAGCCAGAATTATTACTTGAATCTCAGACAAGTAAATCAAATTTCTCCACAACAGTGTCTTAGCGAACGCCTGCCTAAATTTGAGGGAGAACATTTAACCATAGGATATTCGACAACCATGTCCTAACCCAGACATAGATCAAACCTATGCTTGTGAGAAATTATTAGAATTTTTGCAGAGCGGAGCGTTAAGTGCGATTACATTATCATGAGACCAATAGCTTGTGATGTGTAATACGCTGCAATTGCAAAGCATTGGCAGGTCCTTTAATTGTGAATAAATAGTAAACTGATACTTTGTTCCATTCACAAGTAATTTTCAACTTTCATATTAAAGCACTCTACATTCACACCAATATTTTCTAAAATTATGCTCAAATTGAATTTGAACTACATACACCATTTCTGCTGAATTCAAGTTGTAAATATTTATTTCAAATTTAAATGTATTATACATTATTTTACCGATTAGTACCTAGTAGGCTAAATGCATGCTAACCACACAATCGTGGTTTGAATTAACTCATGCTGAAATGGACAAGTTTAAACTTTTTCTATGCATCTCTCTTTTCCTTAATGTTCACGTGTTGATATTTGCTACAGCAGTTGCATTGATACATAGAGACAAGAAAAACTTTTAAAAGATTTTTGTTTGTTTTGTTCGAAACATTATGAAGAGCGAGTGAAACTTCAAAACTGTTGCTTTAATGAAACCTTTAGTAACATCGATATAAAAGACTTAATAATCAGAATTTTCATTCAATGAATTACTTTCTCATTGTTGGCAAGAAATTTTATTCATAGAAAATTCGCTGTAGCTTTTATGGTTTGCCTAAACTCTATAAGAATTTCAATTCATATTTCATTTTCAATATTTTGAAGAAATGCTAGTAATGTTCACACATTTTGGGCAATAACAAAAATTTATTATTATTATTATGATGGAACTTTTTTTTTTAGTTTAGTTTATCAAATATTACTGCACATGCTAACCAGAGCAGGTTCAATAACTTATTGAGAATTGTTTATTTCATTAAGTGCAATGCTTTTTATCTAATAATTACCAAAATAATAAGTTTTCAAAAACACTTTACAAATTGTTAAGCTTTTGTTCATTTTATTACAATAGTACTTTTAGAGAATTGAATTATTTGTAGATAATGAACTAATCAGCATACTTGTTGAGTATAATATGCACGCTCTAAGAAAGAACTATCCAAATCCTATTCTTTTAGCAGATGAAATTAGATAGATATTCTGTTTCTTATTACTTATAATACAATGCCTTCAAAATGAATAACTGGCAAAGTAAGAGTGACGGAATGAGATTGTACATATTAACATGAGAAGGAACAAACGAACTTATTTACCGTTCATTAACTGCATAAATGATTGCAATCCTACCAATAAAGACAAACTTTGGAAAATCAGACTATTGATAGACCATATGAAATTCAGATTCTCAAAATAATTCTCACCAGAAAATATAAAATAAATAATAATAATAATAATAATAATAATAATAATAATAACAACAAAATATCTTCTGATTGACATGTAATAAATTTATGATATTAAACCATTTCATTACACTAGTTCAAGTTCAATGCCAAACAAAGAAATTTAAGAAAAAAACACTTATGAGTTAATATTTCCAGTATCGATTAATATTTGTTTCACATGTAATTTCTAAAACAAGAAATTCTGCATACTTCTTAAAACTGACATAGAGAACATTATAAAATTAGTATTAGGGAATATAGTTAGCCTTCGAGACATTAAATTATATCGGGAATTCTTTATATGCAATTTTCATCAAAACCTAAGCGCGGTTATAACCTGCTTCAGAACACGTGTGCAAAGACGCATACAAGAGTAATGTTTGTTTTTCCAGTTTGATAAATAAACTTTCTATTAATCTTACCTGGAGGGCCCATCTTCAACTTTTAGAACCGCCAATAAAAGCTACCGAACTATTTTCACCAACAAAATACAGAGAAAGCAGAATATCTTCTCAGCCGGCACGTGAAGTCTCGTCAGCCAAAATACAGCGAAGCCAACAGGGATGGAGTTCAGCCGCTTAGATCCGAGCCCGGAAGCTGCATGCAGGAGTACCAAATACACAATATTCGAAATGTAATATTTTTAGTACATGTGCAAGGTAGAGTAATGTGATTAAACTGTATTGGTTAAACTTAAATAAAGTACCACAATTCTCACTCAAATAAATTTAAATAGATTAACTTTCAAGAAAGTCATAAAATACTTGGTGTGTATAAGCCTTGTGGATCACTGAACGGAAGTTGACTTTTACATACATTCTGGCCAGATTTCCCTCCTCTTCTCAAATTCGCAAGAAATCCAATACAAATATAATTATAATCTTTACGAAAAATGTTTTTGAAAAAAAAGTATTACCCACATGTTCAATTATATATTTGATACATACTATTGGACCTATGAATAATGTGATAACTATGATACTAGACAAAAAAGAAATCTGCATGTCCCTCACAGTGAAACTTAACTATTTTAAAAAAATACGCAAAATATATAT